TCCCGGTGAGTGCGGGAACACCCGCGCCCCCTCCCCAGGGCGCCCTCACCCCTCCCTCCGCCTAAGTTCCGAGTCGGAACGAGGGCCACCCCCGGGAAGGACCCCCGATCTCCTCCCCCAGGGAATAGGGCGCCCGAACTCCCCCCCCCTCCCCCCAGCTGTTAGCGGATTGGGTCCCTGTGCGCGCTCCCTGACATCCCTTCTGGAGACAGACTACCTCCCAGGCACCCCCTATCGCGCCTGGACGCGCCTCTCTCACGTCCGGGGACACACAGTTGGGGATCCTCCGTTGCCCAGAACTCCTTCCCAAACCTCCACTAACCGGGGACGCAGCACCGAGACCCCCATCCCCAACACGAACACTTCTGCACTTCAGGGGACAAAGTTTGGGGCTCACCCCGTTCCCTGGATCTCTCCACAGTCCCCAGGCTTCCCCAACCCAGGGGACTGAGCGCCGGGACGCTGCTATGGACGACATTTTCACTCAGTGCCGGGAGGGCAACGCGGTAGCCGTTCGCCTGTGGCTGGACAACACGGAGAACGACCTCAACCAGGGGTGAGCTGAGGTGTCCGGTGGGTGCGAGGAAGGGCGGACGCCCTCCTCTCGGTGATGCGGGGTGCTCCTCTGGGGGGAGCGGCTGACTCCCCTGTCCAGTGTGATGAGTGCCAAGCACAGCCTGTGTGGGTGTGGGGGGGGGGGCGGCGGGGAGGGCAGAGGGGCTCCACAGAGGAAGCTGTGTTTGAGCTGAACCTTGACTGCTGAGTACGAGTTGTATTGGAGGAGGCTGCAGAGCTTTCCAGCCTCGGGGAACTTCCTGGGCGAGGAGGCAAGACGGAGTGGAGAGCGCCCGAGATTGTCCGGTTTTGTGTCGCTGGGGGATAGGAAGCAGTGGGTGCAAGCGGAGAACCACAGTAGACCGGAAAGGTCTGCAAGGGTCAGCCAGGTCATGCGAGGATATTTGGGCTATAGTAAGGTCTCTGTTCTAAGGACAAGAGTCTAAAGCCATGTAGTGACACGAGATTGTCCATTTGTCAAGGGTCATCTTGGATGCTTTGGGAAGGCGGTGGCAAGGTGAAGAGAAGCAGTTGCCTGGTTCATCCCAGACTGGTGGCGGCGGCTTAGGCTAGAGTGGATAGGCGAAAAAGAAAGATCAGATTCCCCAAATCTTTATGGTAAAGAATTGGTGAAAGCGTCAGGAGGAACACTTTGTAAAATATATGATTGTCTAACCACTATGCTGATACACCTGAAACTAATACAAAACAATATTGACTGTAATTGGAAAGACATTTTTAAAAAAAGAATAATAAACAAATAAATACATAAATAAAAAAGAATTGGTGAGACTTGGTGAGGGAAGTGAGTAAGGTCAGAGACAATGACGAGGGTTCTGGCTTGGGCCCTTGGGTAGATGGTGGTTCCTTTAACTGAGATGGACAAGATTGAAGGATGATAAGCTCCACTCTAGACATGTTAAAGTGACAGTAAGGGAAGTGGAAATGTTGAACAAGTTGTTGGTCATGCAGATCTGGGTTTCAGGAGCTGTGTCTGACTTGGAGACACAGATCTGGTAGATATTAGCATATAGATGGTATGTGAAGACATGGGTGTGAAGGAGAGGGGATGAGAAGCCTGCAGGACTTAAAAGGAACAACCGGAGGTTGAAGGAGAAACAGGAAAATTTGGTTAAGCTTAGAGAAGTGACTGTTTCAATGAAGGGGGAGTGGTCAACATTAGTATAGGCTCCTGAGAGATCAAAGAATTTAAACACTTTACGGTACCCATTGAATTTACAATTAATGATCTATCTGATGATCTCTGTGAGGGCTGTTGCACAGGAAAACAGGTGAAGGATCCAGATTACACAGGGTTCCTTCATTTAAGGAAGTGTACTAAATACAACCCCTCTGCTGGGCACTAGAGGTGGGGATTCAGACTCAATACCTCGAGGAGGGGCCATGTGCCAGCTAGGTTGAATGAGAGATGTGGTTGGATAAGACTGGAAGACAAGAAAAGCAGTAGTGATGTTGACTCAGGATGATGGATTTCAATTTTATTTTAAAATTTAATTTTTTAAGGTTGGCAGAGTTTAGTTTTTAGGTTTGAGAGGCAAGAATCACCTGTCATCTTCATCCAGGCTCCCACTAGGCTCATTGGTTCCCATTAGGCTCTATACTACTTCTCCATAATGCGAAGTCACTTGTTCCGTCATTCATATAATTCCTTAAAGGGTGCTCTAATAGTCAGTGGGCACCGTTACTATTTTGTTGGTGGCGTTATAAAGGCTTAGGCGAAGTCCAGTGGGGGTGGCACCCAGATAGACGCCGCTGCCCCAAAGTGAAGGGGTGGCAGTGAAACTGGAAGGCTGTTGGTTTGAGGGGATAGGTTTTGAGGGCCCAAGGTGGCCACATGATGGATAGAGGTTGGGATGAATTCCCTGCAGGTCCCTCTGGGATTCAAGTCTTGGCCCTGAGGTCACTGTGCGGCTGACAGTGGGCAGCATCCTATCCATACTTTTGCTCTCAGGCTCAGGCCTGTTTTGGGGCCATAGACTGGGGTGGGGGGGAGGGTGATAAGCCAAGGCATAAATTAAAGTGCTGGGAAGTAAAACTGAGGGTGATAAGCAGGGGGTGGTAATTGCTTTGGGGAGGGGGGGGAACCCCACCTCCCAGGAAAACTTTTGGCTGGAAGCTGATGAAAGCAGCTGCAGAAGGAAATCATTACGTTTAAGGCCACGCCCCCTCCCTCCCTTGAGCTATCGGGGGCTTCTGGTTGGCCTGCGGTGGCCAGACCCCTGATCAGCTCCAGGCCGGGCCTAGAGCCCCCACAAGGAAGTGACCACAGCACTAAGGCATCCGGAGGCAGTCTGCCCAAACCACAGACCAACCCCAGCTCCGCCCCTTGAATCGGCCTCCGGGACTTGAGGGAATTTCCTTTTATGGCCCCAGGCTGTCAGGCAGGGCCTGCTCCCCCCCAATTGTTTTGGTGGTTTTTTTTTTTTTTTTTTTTTTTTTTTTTTTTTTTTTTTTTTTGTACAGTTCTTTTACTTTATAAAATATAGGTCCATGGGAAAAGAAAAAAGTTAAGCAGTTTTCTTTCTACAAGAAGCCACTCTGATTTTCTTCAGTTTTCGGGGCCCAGGATTGTTTGCATAAAGGAATCCTGTTTTATGTGGTAGTTTGATAGCTGCCTCATCAGTAATGGCTTATCAAAAGCATTTCTCATTTTCATTATAAACCCTTCTAAAACTTTTTAAATTCCATTCCATTTTTAAATCTTACTTTCAACCAGAGCCAATCAGTAAGTTTGCTCCCCCTCCCATGAATTGTGGCATTCTTTTTCCACGACTCTGCACCCCCAACATGCACTGAATCCGTTGTCAATCCATCCTCTCAAGTAGCTTACAATCTGACAAGACGGCCCATTCATAGATTTTTACAATCCAGTGTTATAAGTATTATAGTATGGGGATGTACAAGATGCAGTGGGAAACAGAAAGGACCAACAGATGTTGCAAAAGGGATGTAGAGGATCCAGATAAAGAATGCTACCATTTAATGAGATAGGGCATGCCAGAGAAGGGCTGGAGGGAGATGTTGATGAAAACAATGAATCTTAAGGACTTGTTGAGGGTTGCGTTTGAAGCTCAGGGGGAAGTCTGAATTGGACAGCTTTGGGAGCTGCTGACCTGAATGAGAATTAGAGTCCTGGAGAGGTAAGGTTGCCCGGGGTGAGTACACAGAGGAACTATATAAGGCCATTGCCCCCATTCCACCTCCAGATAAATGACCATTGCATCTTCCTTCAAAGGGACGATCATGGCTTCTCCCCCTTGCACTGGGCTTGCCGAGAGGGCCGCTCTGCTGTGGTTGAGATGCTGATCATGCGGGGGGCACGAATCAATGTGATGAACCGTGGGGATGACACACCCTTGCACCTGGCAGCCAGTCATGGGCACCGTGATATTGTACAGAAGGTGTGTATGATCCCCTCCGTTCCCTACGTCAGTCACAGGCACTGTAACATACTGGGGAAAGTATGTACTCTTCTCCCTCCTCACCTGCCTCAACACCCCTCTCTGATTTGGGACTGACTGCGCTTTCTGCCTCTTCTGTTTGTCTGGCCCTGGGAACCAGCTGCTGCAGTACAAAGCTGACATCAATGCAGTCAATGAGCATGGGAATGTGCCCCTGCACTATGCCTGTTTTTGGGGTCAAGATCAGGTGGCAGAGGTAAGTACTCAGGCCCTCAGCCCTGGGATGGGTGGGAAGTCTGAGCCTCAGTGGGAGATCGGGAGTCCTCATCCTATCCTGTGAGCACTGCAGAGTACAGGACACTCATAGGATTTGTACTGCATCTGAGTTCATGGTTGTTGTGATTGCCAGGGAGGTGGCAGGGGCCATGATCACAACCACCTTTTCATTCCAGGACCTGGTGGCTAATGGGGCCCTTGTCAGCATCTGCAACAAATATGGAGAAATGCCTGTGGACAAAGCCAAGGCACCCCTGAGAGAGCTGCTTCGAGGTCCGTCCCCCAACCCCCAGCTGTGTCCTCTTGTCTTGTCCCCGCCTGTCTCCTCAGCTGAGGCCAAGACTGTTTGTCTTTCTTCCCCAGAGCGGGCAGAGAAGATGGGCCAGAATCTCAACCGTATTCCATACAAGGACACATTCTGGAAGGGGACCACCCGCACTCGGCCCAGTGAGTCAGTTGTGAGGGGAGGGGTGGTAATAGGAAATAATCCTGGGTTTCTCCAGCTGGGTACCTGACCTGCTTACTCTCTCAGGGAATGGGACTCTGAACAAACACTCCGGCATTGACTTCAAACAACTCCACTTCATTACAAAGATCAACCAGAATCACTCTGGAGAGGTGACCCCTGCCTTTCATGCCCCTCCCTCCCCAATTACATGATCTGCACCTCCTTCTAAGTTTCTTCTCGTTAGTGGGCTTGAAAGTTAAAGCCTCCTAACCCTTACCTGTCCCTCAGCTATGGAAGGGCCGCTGGCAGGGCAATGACATTGTCATGAAGGTGCTGAAGGTTCGAGACTGGAGTACAAGGAAAAGCAGGGACTTCAACGAGGAGTGTCCCCGGCTCAGGTGGGGCAAGGCCTAAACTGGAAGCTACTGCTTCCAAGGAACCTGACTTAACACCCAAGATGTTTTACTCTTGTTCTTAGCCAGGGACACTCTCTTCCTCTCCCAGGATTTTCTCGCATCCGAATGTGCTCCCAGTGCTAGGTTTCTGTCATTCTCCACCTGCTCCTCACCCGGTTCTCATCACACACTATATGCCACATGGATCCTTGTACAACGTACTACATGAAGGCACCAGTGAGTAGGGGATGCCAGATCTCACTGAAGGGAGGTATGTGAGCCTCTCCAAGCTATTTGACTCTTGCCTCCTCTCCTAGGTTTTGTTGTGGACCAGAGTCAGGCTGTGAAGTTTGCATTGGACATGGCAAGGGGCATGGCCTTCCTACACACACTAGAGCCCCTCATCCCACGACATGCACTCAATAGCCGAAGTGTAATGGTGAGGTTACAACTTCACTCCTGGCTCAGTCCCCCAGACCTTCCCCTATCTAGTAATCTTCTCTTCCTCAGATTGATGAGGACATGACTGCCCGCATCAGCATGGCTGACGTCAAGTTCTCTTTCCAATGCCCTGGGCGCATGTATGCACCTGCCTGGGTGGCCCCTGAAGGTGAGGTTATGTGGGAGATAGAGAAGGGCAGCTCAGTAGCAGTGGAGCGGGGCAGAGACAGGACTGGATAGGCAGCTGGAACAGATAAGTGTTATCCCTCCAGCTCTGCAGAAGAAGCCTGAAGACACAAACAGACGCTCAGCAGACATGTGGAGTTTTGCAGTGCTTCTATGGGAACTGGTGACACGCGAAGTACCCTTTGCTGACCTCTCCAACATGGAGATTGGAATGAAGGTGAGAGCACGTGTTGGGGCAGTGACGGTAGTGGTGACAATTGTAGAGGGCCGGGCTTTTCCCACAGTTGTTCAAATATACAGTCATCCTGTCCTGATGGCTGGAGGCCTCTCGCTACATAGGACTCATGTTCTGAGACCCACCTTGTTTTTCCCTGCATTTACAGGTGGCACTGGAAGGCCTTCGGCCTACCATCCCACCAGGCATTTCTCCCCATGTGTGTAAGCTCATGAAGATCTGCATGAATGAAGACCCTGCTAAGCGGCCCAAGTTTGATATGATTGTGCCTATCCTGGAGAAGATGCAGGACAAGTAGGGCTGGAAAGTCCTTCCCTAAACTTAAGAGGTGTGGGACAGTTAGGGGAATGCACCGCCCAAAGCAGCAGGCCTCTGGTTGCCTCCCCTGCCTCCAGTCATGGTACTACCCCAGCCATGGGGCCCATCCCTGCCCCCATCCCTCGCACTGTGGCCCCAAAAGGGGCTGGGCTCAGAGCTTTGTCACTTGCCACACGGTGTCTCCCAGCATGGGAGGGATCAGCCCTACCTGTCACAATAAAGTTTATTATGAAAACAGGCTGGCGTGGGGATAAGGGGGCAGACAAGTACATATAGGTTGGGTGGCTCAGGTGAAATAGTGCGGCTTCTTCACATTGATGCCATACTCGCTGAGGGCAGGGGTCAAGTCCTCCATGGTTAGAGTGTACTTGCGGTCCTGGGGGGAAAGGGAAGAGTACCTGCTGAACACGGGAATCATGATTTCAATCCCAGGGAGGTGACCCTGGGTAAGTTTTTTACTTCCCCTAGAGTTTAGTTTCCCCCAAAGGGGTGCAGGATAAATTAAGCCTCCGCTGCTGTGGGAGGTAATTACTGATTCAATGAGTCTCCCCTCACACCTTGCTCTTGCTTCGGGAGCTGCCAGAGGCTGTGCCCTTCATTTTGCAGTGCTGTAGTGCGTCATTGGCAATATCTGAGATGAATTTCTGGGCAGCTAGGGAGATGAGCCGAATTCTAGAGAGAAAAAACTGGCGTAAGAAGATAAACAGCAAACACCACACAAGCACCCAAAGCTCTAACCTGTGCAGAATTTACTCACATGCGAGGGTCTGAGGCCTCAAAGCCAGCGCGGTTCAGGTAGTAACCAGTCACTGCATCTGGGATCTGAGAAATCAATGAGACATCTGTCAGTGCTCGCCCTGAGCCCTGCTGGGCTGAGGTGAGGGCAGGGGGCAGGCCTGGCTATGGAAGCTCGCAGTTGTGTGGGCAGAGGGTAAATCACAAGAGCTGGTAGAAGGGCAAATACAAGCAGAGGGCGTTGGGAACCCAGACGGTGTGGCAGGAAGCTGGCAGGACAGCGGGCGGGAAGCCCACCGTAGGCGTGTAATCCTCCAGCTGCATCAGGAAGTCCACCAGCGGCGTGCTGGACACCACCGGCTTCACGTCTCCGTTGGCCGCGCTCGGCAGCACATAAACCCCGTTAGACATGGCCCCATCCGGGGCCGCCGCGCCGCCCGCCGACACCGGAGCTGGAGGAGAAGCAGCGCTGTGACGAG